CTGTCTCCTCAAACAGCTCTGAAACAAAAATCCTATTAGCTCTCCAACCATGATATCAGGATGACTACATTAGGCAATAGCTAGACAGCTCTCTGTGATCTAAATTGCTATAACTGAACATGATTTTATTTTTTAAAATATCAGTTCTTTTCAGGTTCAGCGACACATTCCTGTAATCCCAGCTACTCAGAAGGCAGAGGCTGGAGGGTCACAAATTAGAGGCCATTATCTCACTAAGGCCTCCACAACTTAGTGAGATAATGCTATTTGGCATATACCCAAAAGACTTAAAATCAGCATACTACAGTGACACAGCCACATCAATGTTTGTGGCAGCTCATTTCACAATAGCTAAACTATGGAACAACTAGGTGTCCTTCAACAGATGAATGGATAAAGAAAATGTGATATATATATATATATATATATATATATATATATATATATATATATATATATAAAATGAAATATAACTCAGCCTTAAAGAAGAATGAAATGATGGCATTTGCCAGTAAATGGATGGAACTGGAGACTATGATGCTAAGTGAAATTAGAAAGTGTGGAGTTTCACTGGATTGGACAGGGGAGAGCGGGGAGAAGGGAGGAGAGATGGGAATGGGAAAGACCATAGAATGAATCAGATTTAACCTTCCTATGTTCATATATGAATTTACAGGACTAGTGTTGGCTCTGCATCATGTACAACCACAAAAATGGGAAGTGACACTCCAGGTATGTGTGATATGTCAAAATACATTCTATTGTCATGTATAACTAAAAAGAACAAAAAATATTTTAAAAGAAAAATGCCTAATAGATGCTTTAATTAAAAACAGTGTAAATTCTTGTACCTTTGTAACATCCATGAATTTCTCACTAGAATAATAAACACAAAACGTGTAATACAATGCTTTCTCAATATCACATTTACTTGCTGTTTTTATTCATTTCTTTGGGAACATTATTTATAAATCTAACCAGTAACTTCTACTTATGTATTTTTTTCCATAGACTTAAATGATGTCATATGTTGATCATTTGGGGCTTTAACCAGGGAATTTTCCTTATTAGACTCTTCTCTTGGGTCACTGATGATTTTCTGTTCCTTCGAGTCAACCATGGTTATGGAACTGGAATCTCCTGGCAAGGTCTTGTGTTGACTCGGCATTGAATATTTGGGTGCACACTCAAAAGCGCCCTCCGTGAGATCTTGCCAACTGAAATTCTTGAGACTGACAATGCCCACAGGGAATGTAATGTTGTGCTCATCATATTTCTGCAATATTGTCTCAAGTTCACTCAGTGTTTCAGGAGCAGTGAGCATGTATTCTTCCAATAATTTCTTTTGCCAGTGAGTTTTGGAGAATTTAAGGTTTAGTGGAAGCTTGGATACACCTGGTGGTTCTGAGATGCTGATTAACTGAAACTCATTCTTTTCCTTGGATGATGTGACTGCACTCAATTCAGCTTTCTTTAGTTCTTTGGATGTTCTATTTTTATGAGTGTAAACAACAAATGTGAACATTAAAGATAGTTTATACTCTTTAACCTTGTAATTTGACTTCTAGAAATCTATATTAAAATAACATCAATGCACAAAATGGCTTACTATAACGTTTTTAAATTAGAAGAAGTTTGAAAAGAGTCCAAGGGTTCTTAGAGATATAGCTAAGTACATAACTCCATAACCACAAAGAAGATAGCCATGAGGATCTGTTTGAAATGCTTTTAATATTTTTGGGAAAATGTTTTATGTTATTATACTATGTGACAAGTGTACCTAATTCTATATATAGTGTGATCTCCACATCCCCAGTCCTTTTTATATTTTATTTTGAGATAGGGTCTCACTAAGTTGGGGAGGGCCTCACTAAATTGCTGAGGCTGGCTTTGAACTTGAGATCCTCTTGCCTCAGCCTCCCGAGCGGCTCAGATTACAGGTGTGTTCCACCACACCAGGCACTCCTTTTATATTTCTCTAACTTTTTTTACAATGAATGTTTATTATATTTATACACAGAAGATTAAAAATCAATGTTTTATTTATTCATTTATTTAATTATAAGACATGACAGAGATTGTTTCTTCCAGAAAGATTTTCCTGAATTTCTTTTTTCATGTGTATGGCCTTGGGAATCAAAATGGGAGCATGCTGGGCAAACACTGTACCACTGAGTCACACCACAGCCCCTGAATTTTATTTTATTTTTTTTTGTAGTGGAGATTGAACTCAGGGATGCTTTTATCACTGAGCTACATCCCCAGTGACTTTTATTTTTTATTTAGAGATATTTTAATATTTTATTAAATATTGTAATATTTTATTAAATAATAGAGGTCTTGCTAAATTACTAGGCTGGTCTTGAATTTGCATTCTTCCTGCCTCAACCTTCCAAGTAGCTGGGATTATAGCAGGCGCCTCTGCACCCAGCATGAATTTCTTAACATTAGTCTACAAACACTTTCTATGCTGCCTTAGCTATCCTACACACCCCTCTTAGATATTATCATATTATACTAAAATATAGACAACAGAACAGACCCACAAAGGGACTAGGTATTTCCAACATCATAATTTTCAGTCACAGTTTGTAAACCTGCTATGCAAACCATGTTTAAAAATTACAAGTGGTATTCCCTTTTTGGCACCTAGGTAATTCAAAGTAACCTGTTCTTTGGAGGACAACCAGAGAAGTGGTTGTAAATGTAAAATGTAAAACTCATCTTTTAAAAATATTTTTTATCTCTGGGTGTGGTGCTCACCCCTGTAATTCTGGTGACTTGGGAGGCTGAAGTAGGAGGATCAATTGTTCCAGGCCAGCCTCAGCAATTTAGCAAGACCCTGAGCAACTAAGTGAGAACCTATTTAAAAATAAAGAATCAAAAGGGCTTGGGGATGCAGCTCAGTGATAAAGTAGCCCTGGGTTCAAAAAAGGAAAAAAAAAGTCTGTCTATCTATCTATCTATCTATCTATCTATCTATCTATCTATCTATCTATCTATCTGTCTGTCTGTCTATCATCTATCTATCTAGGCATGGTAGTGCTCACTTGTAATCCCAGCAACTCAGGAAGCTGAGATAGGAGGATCACATGTTCAAGGCCAACCTCAGAAACTTATTGGGGGCCTAAGCAACTTAGTGAGACCCTGTCTCAATATTTAAAAATAAAAGGAGTTGAGGATGCAGGTCAGTGGCAAAGTGTCCCTGGGTTCAATTCCTTATGCCAAAAATAAAAAATAAATAATAAGAATGGCTGATTCAATGGTAGAGCACCTCTAGTTTTAATGCCCAGTACCACATTTTAAAAAAAGGATTTTAATTGGGCTGGGGTTGTGGCTCAGTGGTAGAACGCTTGATTATCGTGGATGATGCACTGGGTTTGATCCTCAGCACCATATAAAAATAAAGTCATTGTGTCAACCTACAACTAAAAATTTTTTTTTAAAAAAAGGATAAAATTGACTGTGCTATGATTTGAATATAGTCTAATTGTGCATTTCCCAAAAGTTTTATGTATTAAAAACTTGGTCCCCAGGGTGAGACTACAGAAGGGGGTGGAACTTTTAAGAGCTGGGACCTAGTGGGAGGAAGTTAGGTAATTGGGGGTATGAGTTAGACCTTGTGGACCCTTTGGCAGTTCTTGTGAAATCCTTGAGTTCTCGCAAGAGAGTTGTTATAAAGGGATCAAGCCTGGCCCCTCCCATCCTTTCTCTGCTCCTGGTTTAAGATGATGTCACCTGCTTATTCCCACCACTGCTATCTACCATAAGGTGACATAGCTGAGACCTGAGCTAAAGTCAGAACCATGCCCTGGGAGCTCCAAAACTGTGAGCTAAATAAATCTCTTCTCTTTATAAAGTTAGCAGCCCTAGGTATTTCCTTGAAATAATTCAAATTGGGTGGAGGGCCTAGGGGTGCAGCTCTGGGGTGGAGTACTTGCCCACTATGTGTGAGGCCCTGGGTTTGATGCTCAGTACTGGGGGTGGGGGAAGATCAGACGGATTGGTGTATTTTTTTTTTTATTTCCACTTCACAAGTTAAGAAACTATAGTAACTAAATTGATAAAAAAAAAATGGAATGACTAGCTTCATTATTACATTCATCTCTGTGAACTTGACACATTCCATGATTGTTAATCACAAATCTTTATTAGGTCATTCTTTATATACATTCTATATACACCAAACACTATTTCAGGGACTAGAGATAGAGAAGTGAACAAGCATTTAAAAACTCCTGTCCTTGCTAGGTGTGGTGGTGCCCAACTACAAACCCAGGTACTTGGGAGACTGAGGTAGGAGAACTTCAAATTCCAGAGCAGCCTGGGCAACTTCACCAGATGCATCCTCAAAATAAAAAGGATAAAAAGGGCTGGAGATATAGTCCAGGGGTAGAGTACCTCTGGGTTCAATCCCCAGTACTACAAAAATAAATAAGTAAATAAATAAATCCTTATAATCTTTTGAGGGGCTGGACAGTAAACATATAAATAAGAATATCATTGAGAAAGCTAGAAAGTGATAAATACAACAGCAATATTGTTAGGAAGGGAGGACAGGAGTGCTAAATTAGGAGCAGAAAAGAAATCTAAAAATGGTAATCAAGAAAAGTCTCAAAGAAAGAAAGAAAGAAAAGTCTTACCACAAAGGTGCTATTTGAGTAGAGAACTAAAAGGAAACGGGGAGGAAGCTACAAGAATGCAGAGGCAGCACCTGGTGCAAACTCCCTAAGGTAGAGTGAGCAGGGTTTGTTGCAAAACAAGAAGAAAACCAGGGTGACTGATGAATAGGACCAGTATGTTAGGTTAACCACTGAAGTGACTAAAATAGAGCTCTCTGCATGATCTCAGAGTCGGGTTTGAACTGCCAAACCTTGGTATAGTTTTTGTGGGGATGAATAAGGGGAAAGCAGTGCCCTTGAACATTATATAAGCCTGTGCAAATGTACAACGATATCAAAAATTGAAGAGAAATTCCAAATGTTTTACCCATATTTTACCATTAGTTGGGAGAGCTCTTTTTCATATGTTTCCTTTTCCCATTTATTCCTTTCAGGTTTCAACTGAAATGAAAAAGGAAAAAAAAGTTTGTGATTAAGATGAAGAGGGAGAGGCTGGGGTTGTAGCTCAGTGGCAGAGCACTTGCCTAGCATGTGTGAGGCACTGGGTTTGATCCTCAGCACCACATATCAATAAATAAAAATAAATAAAGGTACACCAACAACTAAAAAAATATTTTAAAAAGATGAAGACGGAAATGTCATTCAAAATTGAAATTTTTTAAAAGTAAATTATTACAAGATGAAATGGAGCAATATTATTACCTGATCAAAGAAATAGATGGGTCCAGTGTCCAAAGGCTTATCTTTAACAGATGCCTGCATTCTTCCATGAGACCTAAAAAAAAAAGAAATTGGAAGTCTGAAGACAAGTTATCATGACTCTAGGTGAGATTCAAAGCATTCAGTGGTTTTAAACTTGATGTTTTTATTTTCAGTGAAGTATAAAAAAATTAGGGGATGTGGATTGAATCATTTCCTTATCTCCATTTTCATTTCATGGGCTACTGACTTGACATTGATACAATCAGGACTGAATGCTATTTGAAATCAAAGCAGTAACAGCGTGCCAATTTAGACCTTCTCTATTCTAGCACTGCTGGCATTTGGGCCAATTAATTCTTGGTGGTGAAAACTGCTTGTACTTTGTAGGATGTTTAGCAGCAGCAACCCTGTCTCCACTTACCTGATGCCAGTAGCATACCCACTCACGCAGACATAACAGCACAAAGCATCACCTGATATTGCCAATTGTCCTCTTGGGATCAAAATAACCCCTGGTTCATACTGTGCAATGACAGTAGGTGAGGGGGAAGTTTCTTGGGAAGGAATTAGTACCTGTGAGGATGGGTGATACCGATGATGGCAGGTTTATTGAAGCAGTGACACTCAAAGTGTGGTTCCTAGATCAGCAACATCAGCATTATCTAAGACCTTGTTAGAGATGCAAATCCTCAGGTCTTACCCAGACAGAAGGCATCAGAACCTCTGGCAGTGGAATCCAGGAAACTTCCCCCCGCCCCATACTGGGGATGGAATTCAGGGACATTTTACCACTGAGCTATAACCCAAAGCCCTTCTTTATCTTTTTATTTGAGACAGAGTCTCACTGAGTTGCTGAGGCTGGTCTTGAATTTACAATCCACTGCCTCAGCCTCCCCAGCAGCTGGGATTATAGGCATGTGGTACTGTGCCTGGTCCTGGGATCTATTTTAGACAAGTCCTCTCAGGGGGATTCTGGTGAATGTTGAAGTCTGTGATGTTTTAACCCGGGGTGGGGGGTGTACATTTTACTAAGCAAGTTGTGAAAACCACTCAACTTTTAACTGGGAGGGAAATCTGGGGCCAGCTAAACCAAAATTAAATGGTTTCATGGATTTGCCATGAATGTAATGGGCAATTAAGCAGAAGGAGCAAAGGTATTCAATGAATAGGATGTATGGTGGACTGATGATCATTAGCTATTATCAGTATCATTATTATCAATGAAAATAATAATAAAGAAAACTTTCCAAGGCTCAGATAGAGCTATCCCTTTCTTAAAGAGAACAGGAAAATGTTTTTAAAATGAGATGTGAGAGACATCGAAAACTTCTGCTTGGGCTGGGTTTGTGGCTCAGTGGTAGAGAGCTTACCTAGCAAGGCACTGGGTTTAATTCTCAGCATCACATAAAAGATAAATAAATAAAATGAAGATATTGTGTCCATCTACAACTAAAAAAAAAAAAAAAAAAAAAAACCTGTGTGTGGGAGGGGGAGCTTCTGCTTATCTGAACATCTCTCACTGTCCTGCCACTGTGAGTGAAGACTCTACTTTGAGCAAATATGTGCCTCCAAAATCCCTGGTTAGAATGTAAATTCAGGCATTAATGCTATAACATGATATATGCATTCATGAAATATCTCATATCCTACAAAACTGTGCACTAAAAATAATAGAATATACGTAGCAGGTGGGGCGGGTGGGAAACCTGTTAGGAAAGACCATTTAAAGCTATGCCACTCTATAATAAGAATACAAAAGAAAAATTGTAATTGGCACTCTGGGAGAAACATAGACCAAGCAGGCAGTTGTGGACACTGCTTCAGGGGACATTAAACAACAGAATAGAAATGCAAACTTATTGGTGCTGAGATAATGGTGATGGACGTGGAGCTGCCTGCCAGTGAAATCAACATCAGGTGGGGATGGAAGGAAGTGAAGCCTGCCAGAATTGAAGAGTTGTGGAAGTGGGTTTCAATGTTTTTTTTTTTTTTTTTTAAGAGTTGAAAGAGTTCCTGCCTGTGCAGTAGCTGAGCTGAAGTCTTCTTCCTTTTCTGCTAAAGTTATGTTTCTACTCTCTTAACTGTGCCCTCCATTTCATTAGGACAGTGGAGTATGCCGGCTTCCACAGCACACTGACATCATGCCCTTATTTAGTAATCATTAGCTCATTTGCATTGTATAAACACACATTGTAGCAGAACAGAATGTAATTTTCTTTGGAGAGAGAGAGGGGGGAAGGGAGATAGCTTAAATAAATTTAGAGTGTTTTAAATGATGTCATTATCATCTTGAAACCTAGGGAGCAGTCCCTGAGGAAATTAGGAAGGTAGTGTGGTAAGAAGGAAGAAAAAGAGGAGGAGGAGGAGGAGGAGGAGGAGGAGAAATAATTAGGAACTGTCAAAAAACACAAGCATTGAGAATGCCCTGGACTCCTTTTTCATTTTTAGTTTCTCTCCTTCTCTCAGTACTGGGGATTGAACATACCGGGCTCTCTGCATGCCAGGCAGGCACTGTTACACTGAAGTATATGCTCAGTTTTCTAATTAATTTCTTAATTTAGTGGTACTGGGAATTGAACCCAGGGGTTCTCTATCACTGAGCTACATCCCTAGCCCTTTTTAAAAAATTTTTTTTGAGACATTTCATTCTCCAGAACTGTGAACAAAAAATTTCTGTTATTTATAAACCAGTCAGTGGAAGGTGTATTGTTGTAGCAGTCCAAAAGGACTAAGATGTTCAGTAATGGTACTTCTATGTAGATAACCAAGAAAAATGAAAATATGCCCACACTAAAATTGCAAAGAAATGTTCACAGGCACCATGTTTGTTTGTTTGTTTGCAGCACTGGGGTTGAACCCAGGGCCTTGTGCATAGTAGGCAAATGTTTTCTATCACTGAGCTACACCCCCAGCCTCTTTTTAAAATTTGAGTCAGGGTCTCACTAAGTTATCCAGTCTGGCCTTGAACTTGTGATCCTCCTGCCTTGGCCTCCCACCAGGCATAGTGGCATTATTTATAATAGCCAAGATGTAGACACCCATCCTTTGATGACTGGATGAGTAAAATATGGTATATGTATACAATAGAATAATATTCAGACTTAAAGTGGAAAGAATTGTTATATGCTATGACATGGATGAACTTTGAAAACATTTTGCTAAGTGAAAGAAAGCAGACACCAAAGGTTGTATATTTCATGATTTCATTTATATGAAGCATTCAAAATAGGTAAGTCATAGAGACAAAGTAAATGAGTCCAGAGGTTGGGGTAAAGAGAAATGAAGAGTGAATACTAATCAGTATGGGGTTTCTTTTTGGGGTACTGAAAATGTTCTATAATTAGATAGGGATGACAATTGTATGATATGTAATTACTGAAACTCATAGAATTGTGCATTTTGTAATGTGAATTTTATGGTAGGTAAATTATATATAAATAGATTATATAGACATATATACATATCTCTATACAAAATTATATAGATATATATGTCTATATATATAAAATAAAATAAAAATTATACAGACAGTTCCAGCTTCTGTATCTATCAACCTAGTGACATCAACTGCCAAAGATCAGGTTCTCAAAAATATCTGAGCACCTCAAAAAGTACCTACCTTCTGTCTCACCAGCTTTTGTAAGTTTTCATACCCAAGGAATATTAGAAATCTATTGGTTCTCCCCTTGGAATCACTGTATACCAGAGTTCCATTCAGAATTTCAAGACCAGTTAATTCCATGCAAGGCTTTTATTCTCAATCATCCTTAGATGGAAAGGCAAGTTTGGAATTTCTGAACCAAGAGAGTCAACCAAGCACATGCAAATTTCTTGTTGTTCCCAGAACCTTATTAAAATGATAGTTGTAAAATAATTTAAAACAATCAATTCACAACAACACATGAATAGAAGCAGGATTTCAAGGAACACCAAATATGAAAGTTTTTCTGACTGAAGTTCAGTAATGGAGGGAAGATTTATGACACAAGAAAAAAAAGGCAAAACTCAGAGTTCAATAGAATAAGCTTCTGTTGAAAAGGGTCCCTATTAGCCCTGTAAAACTTTGGGGAAATCAGGTTCAATGACATGCCTGGAATCCCAGCAACTCCGGAGGCTGAGGCAGGATAGCCAGTTTGAGACCAACCTGGGTAACTTAGTAATACCCTCTCTCAAAATAAAAATGAAACGCTGTGGGGCTGAGATTGTGGCTCAGTGGTAGAGCACTTGCCTAGCATGTGTGAGGCACTGGGTTTGATTCTCAACACCACATACCAATAAATAAATACAATTTTTTTTTAAAAATGAAAGACTTGTGGATGTAGCTCAATCCTTTGCTTCAATTCTCACTACAAAAGCAAAGCAAAACCAAAAAAACCTAAGGACTTGTAAACACTAAATATGCAAGAGAGTAGGACATGAGGCTTAAAACAAAAGGATTAATTTAAAGTCTATGTTGAGAATTATGTCAACAAGTCTACTCTTATAAGAGGTAATGCCTAGGATTCAGGTGCTTCATCATTTGCCAGGAAAAAATAAAACAAAACTGTCGGAGACCAGCTCCAACAGGGGGTCTCAGGAGACAAACGGATGGTGAGGAGTCGGCGAAAGAGGGGTGGAGAAACAACACAGACACCAAAGTGAAGGTGTTGATCCCAATCTTTACTTGTGAAGTTGATCATATATACTTTTCATTTTTGGCAGGCTCACAGTACTTTGTGGTTACAAAACAGGAATCATTATTCAAAGAAACAAAATATTACGTAGCTACAATTAGAATAGAAGAATGTATCTTGGCTTATGCATAAGCAAGCATTTGGACTTTCAGTTCGCGTTTTGCTTTGAGCTGTTTCTGCTTAGTTAACTTTTAATAATAGTTACAAATGTCCCAAACTATTGGCCTATACCTTGACTATTCTTTCTTGACTTACTGACTGGAACCGGTGCCATGGTTACGGCAAGTGGTTGACTTGTTATTACTTTTAATCAAATAAGAGTAAGAGCACAAACCATTGTGCACAGGAACAAGAACAAGTTGCCCAGTACTAAGCACTAATCTGTCTTCTTAACATTAAT